CCTGATTTCGGGGTCGTTTTCTCAAAATATTGACCGAAGTCAAACTTGTCCATTTAAAGCTAACTTAAGGAACCAAGTGTTCCGATTTCAATTCACACACTTCCAAATCCCGAACCAACCATCCCCACGAGTCATAAATTAATAAAAGCATATTCAGGGAGTTTTATTTTAGGGAACGGTTTTTTAAAAGTTAAAATGATCGATTGGGTCATTATAGCTTCGGTTGTCATTTCTACACACCAACAAAGAGAAAGAAAGAGTGAGGTTTCACGGACAGGGTATAAGAAAATAGTCTGTGAGAAAAATAGAGAGTCAGAGATATTATAGTGAGGTGGGAATATCAAAAGAGGGTTATTTCTTTTGAGTGTTGTAGTGATCTTTGAAGTGTTTTACTCAGACCTACAAAGTGTAAAATTCCTTGCTATAGTGATATCAGTTGCTCCTCTCGGGGCCTTGGTTTTTTCCCTTATTCAAAAAGGTTTTTCACGTAAAAATCTTTGTGTTCTTGTTGTTCTTTTAATCTTTGTTGATTACCGTATCTCGGTGCTACATTATTATTCTGCTTTTATTACCGTAAATATTATTTCTGTAGGGGGTTTATTCGCAATAGCTGGTATCGGAGCATAGGTTCTGTTCGCTCACAGAAGTATTATTCACTGTCGGTAGTACTATACTCGGTAAAAAAAATGTCCGGAGTAAAATACGAGGTAACAAAATTTAATGGAGATAACGGTTTCTCAACATGGAAAAGAAGGATGAAGGATCTTCTCATCCAACAAGGATTACACAAGGTACTAGATGTTGATGTCAAAAAGCTTGATACCATGAAAGCTGAGGATTGGGCTGACTTGGATGAAAGGGCTGCTAGTACAATCAGGTTGCACTTATCAGATGATGTGGTAAATAGCATCATTGATAAATATACCGCACGTGGCATACGGACAAGGTTGGAAAATCTATACATGTCTAAAATGCTGACAAATAAATTATACCTGAAAAAATAGATTTATGCCCTACACATGGGTGAAGGTACAAATTTTTTGTCACATTTAAATATGTTTGACAGACTAATCACACAGCTCGCCAACCTCAGAGTAAAAATCGAGGAAGAAGATAAAGCCATCTTGCTATTGAACTCATTTCCATCTTTGTATCATAATTTGGCAACAACCATCCTGCACGGTAAGACTACCGTTGAGTTGAAAGATGCCACAACCACTCTTCTACTCAATGAGAAGATGAGAAAAAATCCTGAAAATTAAGGACATGTTCTCATCACAGAAGGTAGAGGCAGGAGTTATCAGAGGAGTTTGAGCAACTATGGTATATCCGGAGCTCGTGGGAAGTCTAAGAAACGATCCAAATCAAGAGCCAAAAATTGCTACAATTGTGATCAACCATGCCACTTCAAAAGAGATTGCCCAAATCCAAGGAAGGGAAAAGGTGAAAGCACTGGCCAGAAGAATGATGACAACACAATCACCTTGGTACAAAACAATGACAGTGTTGTCCTTTTTATAAATGAGGAAGAGGAATACATGCACTTGTCAGGTCCAGAGTCGGAATGGGTGGTTGATACAGCAGCATCTTACCATGCCACACCGGTAAGAGATCTTCTTTGTAGATATGTAGCATGTGATTTCGGCACTGTGAGAATGGGTAACACAAGTTACTCAAAGATTGTGGGGATTGGTGACATTTGTATGAAGACAAATACCGGATGTACATTCGTTCTAAAGGACGTACGACATGTACTTGATTTGCGGATGAACTTGATCTCGGGAATTATTTTAGACCGAGATGGATACGAGAACTATTTTGCAAATCAAAAGTTAAGACTCACCAAGGGATCAGTGGTGATTGCAAAGGGAGTTGCTTGTGGTACGTTGTACAGGATAAATGCAGAAATATACCAAGGTGAATTGAACGTGGCACAAGATGAGATTTCTGCAGATTTATGGCACAAAAGAATGGGTCATATGAGCAAGAAGGGATTGCAGATTCTTGCCAGGAAATCACTCATTTATTATGCCAAAGGTACAACAGTAAAACCTTGTGACTACTGCTTATTTGGTAAGCAACATAGAGTCTCATTTCAGACATCGTTTGAAAGAAAATTGAATATACTTGATTTGGTATATTCTAATGTTTGAGGTCCCGTAGAAATTGAATCGATGGGCGGGAACAAATATTTTATTACTTTTTATAGAATATACTTGATATATTATAGAATTGCTAACGGAAGTAGTTCAAACATTACTTTTTAAATCCATTTCATAGCAATTTTTCAGTATGATTATGCTTCAATTTTGAGATTGCATTTTCCCTTCACACACTTAGTATAATATGTTAAAATGTGTACCAAAATGTGTACAAAGTAGCATATGATATAATATTTTAAAATATGTACCAATTAGCATAATAATTGAAGTTAAAGAAGTAGCATGTCAACATCACCTATCCAAACAATAGAAATGCTAGGCAACACTTTTTAAGGAATTTTCCAATTAATACACTTCCTTTTCTTGATAAACACCAAAATTGATGATTTTTGTGGACCATTTCATGATTGGGAAATTGGATTTGATATCATCACCTAGTATTAATTTCACCTAACGTTTCCAAGTGCTAGGGAGGAAGTATTTATTGTAAGATTGGTAGGGAGTTTGCTCAACAGATTGAGAGTCACTTGAAAATGGAGAAAACAATAATCCTTTTTTCTCTTGGTTATCTATTTCTCTCTCAATCTATGGCTGCTATGACGAAATACCCTCCTTGTATTAGTTGTGGCTGTACTGGCAATAATTGCAAAGTACCAGGAGATCCAACTCGATATGAGTGGCCGGAATTGGTCGGACTTGATATCCTGCCAGCCAAAGCTACAATAGAAAGAACCAATCCTAATGTTGCCGTAATCGTGCTAGATGCTCATTGTGCTCATCTCACGGACTTGTGTTGCAATCGTGTGTGGCTTTGCCCCGATGCAAGTGGTATTGTTAGAGAAATACCAATGGTTGGGTAAGAGAAGGGGGTGGAAGAGGTGTTGCTGTTCCGATGATGGAGACTAGTGGTGATTCTGTCGCTGTTCTTCTCTATTTCTTTGTCTATTTGTGAAACAATTTCACAGTTTCAGCTTCAAAATGAAAGTCTGTTACCTTGAAATCAAATCACATTAGACATCTTTGTGTCTTGTCCTCATTTTCCGTTTGGTTGTAATTATAATGTATGTGATCTTTCGCGGAGCACTGACTTTGTTAAATTTTGACTTACTAGTAACGGCGGGCTAAATATACACGCGTAATTTCGAAAATGGTCTAAAAATAACTCTTGTTATACTATTGGATTATATATACTCCTCCCGTCATATTTTGAAACAAATATACCCTTATTTTGGATGGAGTGCCACGTGGCATCACCAGATGAAAACGACCCTTTTTTTTTACCCGATCCGTTTTTAAAAACCCACCACTCGACCCGTTTTAAAATTCAGTTTTTTTAAAGCATATATTTTGTAAAAACTAGAATTTTATATTTGTAAAAACTGGAAAAAAAAATATTTTTTTGTAAAAACTGGAAAAAAAAAAAAGGACTCTCCTAAAGCAGTACACTACGTATGCATTAGTTTTAAAAAAAATAAAAATATTTTGCAAAATCTTTTTTTTTCAGTTTTTACAAAAATAATACTTTAAAAAACTGAAAAAACTAAAAAATATATATTTTGCAAATTCCTTTTTTTTCCAGTTTTACAAAATATATTTTTTTCAGTTTTTACTTTTAAGTATTTTTTTGTAAAAACTGGAAAAAAAATTGTAAAATATATATTGTTCAGTTTTTTCAGTTTTTTAAAGTATTATTTTTGTAAAAACTGAAGGAAAAAAAATTTGCAAAATATTTTTATTTTTTTTAAACTAATGCATATGTGACTAGTCCACTGCTTTAGGAGAGTCTTTTTTGTTTTCAGTTTTTACAAAAGAAAAAAAATCAGTTTTTACAAAAAAAATACTTTAAAAAAACTGAAAAAACTTAAAAATATATATTTTGTAAATTCCTTTTTTTCCAGTTTTTAAAAAAATAAAATTTAGTTTTTACAAAATATATGCTTTAAAAAACTGAAAAAACTAAATTTTAAAACGGGTTGGGTGGTGGGTTTTAAAAACGGATCGAGTAAAAAAAAATGGGTCGTTTTCATCTGGTGTTGCCACGTGGCACTCCATCCAAAATAAGGGTATATTTGTTCCAAAGTATGACGGGAGGGGTATATATAACCCAATAGTATAACGAAGGGTATTCTTAAACCATTTTCGAAAGTACAGGGGTATATTTGGCCCTTTTACGTACTAGTAATTAAGTAGCAAAGTTGAGATCAAACAATTAGACAGATTAAATAGTACAAACATACATTAATTAATTAGTGGCTACCAAAAATTTCTCAAAACAAGATTAGATGGTCTAGTACACCAAAATTTATACGATTATTACATGGTTAATTTCACTGATGGTCATTGAACTATCTTTCAATTTCACTAAAGTCATTTAACTATTGTTTGTCACTTAAAAGTAACTAAACTTTATCATTGTCACTTAAAAGTCATTTTGCCTCAAACCCCTACCATAAATATGACATGGCATTAAATTTTATGATAAAAATCCAAAAATAAATGTCACATAAGCTAATATGGGTCATACCCATTTTAGATCCATTAATCTTTTAATGTGATTTGATCCATAATCCAAATGAGTTTCGATAAAAAAAATATATTAATTCCACATTAGTTTAAAATGATTATCCTATACTATAAAGTTTTGTCTTTTCTATCACAGCACATTCATAATTATTCTATACTAAAACAATTTATGCTAGAAAATTCTTATCTAGTTACTTTTAAGTGCAATATGGGATTTCGTACTGCATTTCACGCCTGTTGCTATAAAATTGGCCATTTTAGTTGCAAACAAAGTGTATACTACTTGGTACTCATGAACATTTAGCGAATCTACATGGTATATAACAGCGAATTTACATGGTTTTTTTCCCTCAGTTGAAGGCTGTTTTATTGCTTTGGTACACAGAATTATTGGAATCTCCTCAACCATTCTATGAAGAAATGCAAAGGATATCATATTAAATACAGTGAAGTCTCACTGAAAACATGATTTTTGTAGTTTTCAGCTATTCAGAAAAGCTGCAACCTTCTATTATTACAGAAACAAACATAAAGATGGCTAGTGTGGGAAATGGCTTTCACAAGTCCACTTCCAGAGCATCTCCTTATAGCCCCTTTATTCCAATTTAACAGATATTGGGCTTCTGACAACATATTTGTTAGAGATCCATGATATAGCTCCTTGAACAAAGCGGTCGCTGATTCTTCCTGTTTGCGCAAAGGATACTGAATATGTTGCCTTTTGGTTCACCTGGGTGAAGACAAGCGTAGCAGGCTCGACAGCTATATCAAGTCCTTGAATTTGAGTGATGTTAACAACGTAAGTTGAGCTTGCATCGCCTACATTTGTAACTGTTCTTGTATAATTCTGAGTCTCAGGTCCAAGTATAATGGAGAAAGAAGGATAGTTCAGTTCTGCCTCAGATATGCTTGATTGTAGTGAGCACTTGACACTTTGTTGCACAATAAGCCCGATATCTTTTTCCTTGTAGCCAAGACCACACAGATATTGGATGTAGTTCTCTACTTGAATGTCATAAATAAGTCCTGGATTACTTGCTTTTGATGGATTTACATGGCCGGCGCCAGTGGCAAAAATATCAGCAGGTAGATCCCTCTGATCAAGGATGGGCTTACCTTCAAGATTGGACTGATCAGCTGTGGTCATTATTGCAGATTTAATAGCAGCTGGAGACCAATCAGGATGTGCACTTTTAAGCAAAGCTGCAATGCCACCAAGGTGAGGACAGGACATAGAGGTTCCGGAGATTATGTTAAATGTCAAATCAGTGCCAGTTTTGTTCTCCACAGAGACGGGCCATGCAGCAAGGATGTTCACTCCAGGACCAATAATGTCGGGTTTGACAATGCCCGGACTTGCTAGGTTAGGACGCCTGGAGGAAAAAGATGGCACAGACGGCGCACTCTTAAAGCCGATGCTTGTGCCTTTGAAACGAATTCCTGCTGAAGGTGTGGAGGTTGAGTTAATGTACGCTTTAATCTTTTCTCCAGCATTATAACTTACATGTGTCGCGGGAAGGACATGAGCATCAGCAAAAGTTCCATCTCCGTCAATCTCTAGATTGACAAGAATCATAGCGGCACCACCAGCATCCTTTACAGTTTGGCTTTTTTCGAGTCTTGCTACACCGCCACCTCTGTCACACACGACAACTTTGCCTTTGACATCAGTATTATTTAGTGATCCTGATGAACAAAGTGCAGCCTCTTGATCGGACAGGCCAGGGTATACCAAGGGCAATAAAGTATGAGGAAAATCTGTGGGCTGAAAAGCCGATTCACCGTCATATTCTTTTCCATTCCCTAGCACAGCTGTTGCCACTATTTTCCTATCATGAGTGCTAGCGCCAACTGTGAGAATCCAAGGGGCCTCATTTGATAGTGTAGAATTTAATGGACCATCATTACCGGCAGAAGCACTCACGAAGATACCCTTTTGGATTGCAGCAAAAGCACCAGTGGCAATATTATCATCATAAAAAGGAGCAGAAAATCCACCAATGGAAAGAGAGAGCACGTCAACACCATCGTCTATTGCAGCATCCAATGCAGCCAGAATATCAACATCTGAACAACCATCTGTACACACCTTGTACATGGCAATGTGGGCAAGAGGTGCCATACCGGCTGCTGTACCATTGGCATTACCAAACACATTTGCATTATCAACAAAGTTACCAGCTGCCGTACTTGAAGTATGCGTGCCATGACCTTCCTCATCAAATGGTGGATCACTTGAACCACTCACAAAATTCCTCGCACCAATGAGCTTCTTGTTACAAGTCACATTTCCTGTGAACTCGCATTTCCCTTTCCATTTTGCCGGTGGAGGTGGCATGTTATGATCACAAAAAGATGGATGTCCTGGAGTAATTCCAGTGTCCAGAACCCCAATGATCACACCCTTACCATAATTTGATTCTTGCCAAAACCCCATATTCTGGTACAACCCCAAGAAATTTGGAGTATGTGTTGTATGCAAAGCCAAAATCTTCTCAACCCTCGCCGACACAAAACCATCTTTCTTTTCCATTTCTTTTACCTCCTCAGCTGACAATCTGGCCGCAAAGCCAATCGCCACATGGTGATAGGAGTGAATAATACGCGATGGCACCTCCAAACCTTCAAACTCTTCCGGTAAAAAGGAGTTATAGTAGCCTTCTAGATCAGCTGAATTAGCAAGAACTTGTGCAGTTGGCTTGTTTACATGGACAAGGTAAGTTTGCAAACCAGTTGAACGTTGAGCAATAGTCAATTGGAAACTTAAAAAGAAAGCAACAGAGAAGATAAAAATGCAAGTCATGTTTGATCTTTGTACCATCATACAACTCCTAGAGAAGGTTTAGTTATTGATGATCTGAACTTAGTTAAGGAACAGGCTATATATACTATGAGCTGAGGAAAGAAGAATTTGATAAACCAATGCAGGAAAACAAAAACATAGGTGATTTCCAAGAGAGCCGGCTTACGAATAATTAATGATTTAAGGGAGAAATATCATAAGAAGATAGGAACTAAACAAGAATACTGGATTTTTAGGAAACAAAAATTGATATTGTTGCCGAAGGCGATAATTCTGGTGTTTATGGAAGATATATGTTATTGTAAAAAGAGTATTGTATATTTCTCAACTCCAATAAACTCCAGCCGTATTATTTTCTAATTGCTGTTTTCATAGTTTGTCATGCATAGATTATGGATTATTCATTTCATAGGTTGATTAAATTATAACTCAATTGTAATCATCTGAAAGCAGTAACTCCATTGCAGTTCTTTTTTGATATTTGCAAAGAACTCTTAAGTCTATCTCTCTACTGCTTTACAGTACTGTACTCAACATACATATACTAAAGTAATACTAAGATCTTTGTTAGGATCGGGAACCCGGGTAGTGCGGAATATAGCCAAACAACGGTATAATGGCAATAACAAAGACAATGGAAGTTGATAACAACGACAATTAAAGTAGATAAAGAAGACACAAATTTAACGTGGTTCGGTCAAAGTGACCTACGTCCACAAGCGGAGAGGGGCAATTTACTATAACAATAAGAGTACAAAAGAAAGTACAAAATTAGAGTAAATACTCTAATTAATCCCAAATACCCTAAGGAAATAACCTCACAAGATCACTCCAAAGAAAAGGTTCACACAAGTGTTTCCCAACACTCACTCTCTTACAAAATACTCTATAATGAAATAAAGGAGGAGAAAGAAAGACAAGAGTGAAAAGCTCTTGAATTGGTGTGTTTGCAAATGAGGAGAAACTCCTCTATTTATAGCAAGAAATCCTTG